CTAGCAAAGTTCCCCCGATTTAGGGCCATGATACGGGTCTTATTATAGAGCCATAGAAAATATATTTCGAATATTTCAATTTCGGTCCTAATAATTTCATATATTTATGAGATTGCTTTATTTTTCTATTCTTGCCACCAGTTCTACTTCTCATATTAGAGATCGACTTTCAGAGCCTATAAGCACGAAAATTTATTCAAAAGATATTCAAATTATGAAATTAATTTTATATCTAGAATCAAGTCCTATAATTAAAATCGAAATCCTAAAAATATATAATTAATAATCAAAAAGGGTTCTCCACAAATAATTATATTTATCGATTATTCGTATCCAGACTATAATACTACAATAAAAAGAAAATGGTGAAATCATTAATTAGATAAATCGAAAATTATTTAAATAAATAAATATAAATATAAATATTCTTATTTCTCTTTTTATTATAACCACAGAGAAATATATTAATAGATATATATATAATAGACGCACAGATAGACAGAAAATAAATAAGACAAAATAAGATAGATAATATAAATAAAATAGATAAGACAGATAAGACGGACGAGACAAATGAGACAAATGAGACAGATGAGACAGACGAGACAGACGAGACAAACGAGACAAACAAGAGAGACAAGAGAGACAAGACAGACAAGACAGACAGGACAGACAAGACAGATAGGACAGACAGGACAGATAGGACAGACAGGACACAAGATAGACAGGACAGACAGACACACACAGACCCATAAATAAATGCACAGACAGACGCACAGACCAACACAGACAGACGCACAAACGGACAGACACAAACACACTCAGAGACACACCCCCCACAGAAACACACAGAGACACCTGCATTCAGAAGGCACGGCACTGGAGCTCGCGGTACTAAAACTTCGGAAATTTTATTACCGCGAGCATGTCCCAAACATTGCCTGCCAAAATTTCAGAAATTTTATTACCAGGAGCATGTCCCCCAAAAGCCATCAACATTTCTGGAACTTTGATACCGCGAGATTTCCTAAAGCTGCCAAGATTTCGAAAATTTTAGTACCGGCAAAGAACTGCTCTCCCGAAATTGTAGTACCGCGAGACAGGCCCGCAAGAGGCTTTCAAGAGGACACGTGCCAGAGGGCGAGGTTGCAGGGGGTCAGGGTCGCGCACAAAAAACGGATGCGACCAACACGACACCGTTTTGTTAGAGAATAATCTCATCTTTTCAATACATGAACTATTTACCCTTCTTTTCAGAATAATATAAACAGATTGATTGAACATCTATATTATTCTCTCTGTTCTGAAGAACTTCTTATATTTATAGATATATCCAAATGATATCATATAATAAGAAAGATAAAGAAATAATCCACTTAAAATTACACGAGAAGACCCCAAACAGCAATAAACCAATCAAGATGTTGTCCCCGGCGAGGCGTGTCACAGCATCCGGCTCTCAGACAGAGCGGAGGTAAAAGCGGAGACAGCAGTTTAAACTGAGATTATGAAGGGAGACAAATCCGGCTACCCCCACAGCATCCGGCTCCCAGACTCAGACAGAGCGGAGACAGCAGCGGAGACAACAGCTTAAATTGAGATTATGAAGGGAGACAAATCCGGCTAGTTCCCGGTCCCCGGCGAGGCGTGTCACAGCATCCGGCTCCCAGACTCAGACAGAGCAGAGACAACAGGTTAAATTGAGATTACGATTACGAAGGGAGACAAATCCGGCTAGTCCCCGGTGGGGCGCGTCACACTATCCCTTTCTTTGAACAAATTGAGAACCCCAATACTTCGCTGTTAGTGGGATTAAAGGAGAATCGAGTTCAATGTAAGAATAAACATCTAGGCCCCCAATATATCAAAAGAAGATGAGACTAGCTCAACCCAGACCTGCCGCGAGTTTTTCGCCTGCGGGGCGAAAAAACTCAACTCATCGGTGAGTGCTGAGGGGCCCCCGAGTCAGCGGCTGCAAAATCAGAACACAACAAGCAGTGCCTGACGTTCTCTGCGGAAAGCGCTAAGCACTGGTCAACGGGAAGATCAGGGTGGCCAATCCATTCACACCTGTCCCGATCATATGTCAAAGCTTCAAACAATCGACACCTGTGGAGCCTGTGGAGGGGATCGCGGTCGCGACTCGCATGCGCCAGCGTCTTGGACCCTGAACCCTAAGCCGGGAATTAGAAGGCCCTAAGCGTTTAGCAGTTCTCGTTTTTGAGAGCTGCAAAGCATCTCGGCAGCCTGCTCACTTCTGTTCCGTTCGGGGCTGAGGGTGTACGTGTTTCAGGTTTAGTGAGAACAGCTGACAGAACAGGCATAGTAATGAAAATAGGGACAACACGGATGGCGATGCTGCTCATAGGAGGCATCATGCTTGTTGACTGTGCTTTCAAGAATTAGGGTAAATGAAGCGGAAGCTGACGACACCCATCAGAGTATCAACTCCATCCAAGCACAAGCAAGAGTCACAACATTAGTCTTAAAGCAGAATGACCACAATAGCACTCGCAGCGAAAGCAAGGACAGTGAAACAGCAGCCATGCAACGCCAAGGATAAAGCATATAAGCAGCGGAATCAGACTCCAGCCGGTGATGAGCCAAGCGACCAAGGTAGGCACATGTCAGTAGTGTCTTGCATGTTCGGGGCTTCGAGCTTGAGGTCTGACCGAGGAGTTCGATACTGCAAACCCCCGCGACCCAATCCACCTTTCGAACAATTGCTGTCCCGCGGCGTGCACGGGTAGGCACTGCGACATAAACGCTGCAAGGGTCAGCAACAGAACGGAAACAATAACAGCAACAGCTAGTTGAATGAGTCAGTCCGTCGGCTATCTTGCTCACAGTCTCTGCATCAGCGACGCTTGCGAACTTTCCGGACGAAGTGTGTCAGCGCTTCTTGGAAGCTGCAAAATTAAATGTCAACAGGTGCTACAGGGACATCTGCGCCTTGCCAATGAACCCCGCCAGCACGAAGATATGGCAACACAGCCAACGCAAGAGTCAGGCAAAAATCGGCGACCCAGGAATTCAGATGAAGTTGAATTTCTTATGACACCTTCTTGCCCTGGGTCAACCGGCTTCCGGTTCCAGAGGAACCTGTACGAATGTTGAAAGCAGAAGATGTGCCTCCAGCACTATTCCAGCAGGGCTCAGAGCCATCCCAACGGTGGACGACAATATGGGAGGGACAGTCCTTCTTCCACTAGAGTCTCTAGAGAGCAATCATTACTAAGTCTAAAGAAGCTGGTGGCACAAAGAGTGCCGCAGACACGTGCAGCGTCCGCCGAAAGCTCCCAATCACGTGCTGGTAGTGCACCCACTCGGGCGCACATTTCTCTACAGGAGTTTATCCTGGAGCATGGAAAACCTGGCTTTCGCCTGTCGAGCTGCCACGATGCAGCTCAACAGCTTTGCAGCCCATTACAGCACCCTCCAAACCCTCAGCCTCAAGCCTAAAGACCTAACCTACTTCTCCGGGATCACTTTTGAAAAGTCAGCCTCCGTCGATATGAAGCGGCGGAACGGGAGGTGTTGCAAGAAACCTTAGTGCCGAGAGTGAGGTGGCCACTATGCTCAAGATGGTGACGGCGGTGGCGGTGGGGTCGTTTAGGGTTCAAGTTGTGGAGTCTTCTTACTTTGCTAACAGCGAGCCAGCCAGAGTCAGCAGGGCATGTTGACACAAAGATGTCGTCCACGGGGTGGCTGGTCCCCAGGCGTGTTCTTAGGTACTGGTATTGGTTTTGAAACTCCACAGCGTGCAAATGTCAGTCAGACCGTGACAGGCAGATTCTCGCTGCTTTCAATGCGAGGTCTGTGGATCGAAATTCTGCAGGAAATCCGCAAGTCGATGGTACCAACCGCGCACGAGGAGCTGCGGGAGGAGGGGTGGGCCGTGGGGCAGCTCTGCAGGGCCTATGCCTATAATGAGGTCTCGGAGAGTCGTCGAAGTGTGAATGTCAGCTCTTATCGCCGCTTGCTATACTTCGCCTGATCCTGATGCGATGATGGTGTGGGTGTTGGTGTTGGTGATGGCGATGAGGATGACGCTCATGATCATGATGGTGATGGTGATGATGAGGACGATGAAGATGATGATGATGATGATGATGATGATGATGATGATGGTGATGATGATGGTGATGATGACGAGGATGGCACTGAAGATGAACAAAAGGTAGTCATACGCAAAAGATGACTCAGCATTTCGGAGTATCGCGGCCCCTGTTTGTCACGCTTGGACTGGGCCTTTTCGCGCAAGGGCTTTTGTGTCGCCACTGAGTCGCCCAGCCCATGCTGCAAGCCCCGAGGCTCTAAGGTTTTGAGCTGCTCCCGGAGATGTCGATTGTGATGATGGAGGTTGACGGTGATGCTGCTGTTGCGGAAGCTGTTGACGATGATGGGCCAAGTTTTTGCTGTGTCCAGTGAAGGACTGGCGGGTGCAACGGAAGGTCTGTGCCACCAGGCCAACAAAACTTAGCAGTGTTGTTGCCGTCCTCTTTACCTTAATTAGCTATGATCACAGTTCTGTACTAGAACCAGCAAGCGCTGCAAAGAGCACTCATCTTGAGTCTGTCAGCTTGTCTGGCCAGTTATGTGCATTCTGGCGTCTGGTGACTGAGTGTCGTCTGGATGCCAGTTTGTACAGGTGAGTTCCATTCACGACGCAAGTATCGAACGACATGGATCACCCCGAACCACAAGGCGATGCCCAGCAGCTGTTGTGATCAAGGCTTGCACGCCGATATTCTTCCTGCAGCGGCAGGATCGTGGTCCGAATGTCTTCGACGTGGCTCAGCCGAAATGTCACCAGCTTGTGAGCTGGTCTTTCTGAACCGCCCGTGCGACAACTGACACAACTACTAGTCAGGAGCTGAGACCATGCCAGCGAGCACTTCACTCCTAAATCTCACACCCAAACCTGACTCAAGTTCGATTTAGCCCTCCAAGCCCTCAATCCTTTCTACGCCAAACCCTGAAGCTTTCACATCTTCGGCCTCCTCTTCCTTCTGTGGCATCTGCCACAAGTCGGTGACCACCTCCATCTCGTTCCTGAGAAGTTGGGGTTCGCGGGATCCTTCTTGCGATGTGCGGTTTTGAGGTTCATGGTTCAGGGTAATTAGGGGTTTGGGCCCTAACCCCTTCTGCCCCCCCCCTCCCCAACCCGAGGTTTGAGAGAGGCCCGACAGAGTCTCTCACAGCGGTGCAGAACGGAACATCACATCACATCATGCACTGATTCTGTCAAGCTGCAATGTGTTCACGACCTTCTGGGCGAAGTCCTGCAGCAACGGCGACAGCCCTAATCCTTGCTTAGATGCAAAAACCCATTTGCACTAGAACCCCGCATTGGCGACTGTGGCCGACTATACATTCGAACTGCCCTTAGATTTTTCATACTTTGACCCGTGCTCGCATGACCATGGACCAACCACTTGACCTCATGGAACAGCACAGAATCGAACACACTACGCGCTGGGTATGTTCTGCATGATGTAAAGCTTGATTGAGGTCTTATGGCAAAACCTGAAGAGACTCCCACGTCCCTAAACCCTGAACCTGAAAGAGATCCAAGGCATGATAAAAGTCGAAGGTTGCTGTAATTTTACATAACTGAACTGTAGACAACGTAAAGACTCTGAACTCCTTTAAGGCCCCCGCCCGAGCCAAGCTATGCCCGTTGAAGGAGCGACGGATAGTAGCAGCGAACTTCTCGACCTGGGGCAAAACATGGCAAATTACGGTTTGCGGGCTTAAAGTTTACATGCTCACTTCAGGGCATAGGGACTGAAACGTCAATTCACACTGTTCTACCTGCGAAAGTCCCTGTAAGTTACCTTCTTCCCGTGATAGTGCACCTAAATGCTGCTTGTTCTTCAACAAAGCAATGCGATTCTGCTCGCAGTACCTCGAGCAAGACGAGTCCGGAAACGTCCTCGGACGATCGCCAGCAAGGCGTGAACATCCAGAACAAGACAAGAGCAGCAGCACTGTCATCTAGGCCGTGACCTGAATTAGTGTGGCCAAGTGTCCTCCGTCGTGAGCTCACCTGTACAAGCAAATGCAAACTCGCAAACCAAACCCATGTGTTCAGTCAGGACTTCTGAACCCGGCCTAGGTGAAGCCAAGGGATCCATAAGCTCATCTCCACCAGCCTTAGACAATAAGAACTGAGAGAGGTTAAACAACAGCATCAACTGTGTGGACGATGAAGTGCTCAGTCATTTGCTGCAGAGTCTGCGTGCCCAAGAGACCCAGGTTCGAGAGATTCTAAGTGGGAGTTTCAGAAAATTAGGGAACCTTATTTGGGGGGTCCTTATAATAGGGATCCTATTATTTAGGGTACTATATTAGGGTCCCCTACTTTCGGAAACTCCCAAGTAAAGCCCTGAGATCCTGGAGCTTTGTCTGGCAAGCATCCTCACTGCGCAGCTGTCGGCAACCCGACCATCTGTTCAGTCCGAGTAGCCACCGAGGTTCCTCAGGCGCCCCTTGCAAACGCACCTTGTAGCCACTCAGCTCATAGACCAGCATGCCTGGCACGATCGTCACAGGCTCTCAGACTGTCAGGAATTGTCTTCCCACGAATCTGCCAAGGTACCCGAGGTCATGAAATAGGCGTGGTTGGCAATCACCTCCCGAAAAAAGGAGGCATATCCGAGAGCACGCCACGAAGGAGCAAACATGACAACAGCGACTTGCAAGACACTAGAGGCCCGACCGCTCTAACCACAAGCCCTAAACACTGATCCTCTAAGTAACATCCGCGAAAAGCGCGAAAAAACCCAAGCCGCTGCATCCTAAACCCTGAAACAGTCTGAAACCCTAACACCCCCCAACATACTACAACCCCGAGCTCCCAGGCCCTAAAACCCTAAGCCCTAAACCCCAAACCCCTAAACCCTAAACCCCTAAACCCTAAACCCCTAAACCCCCACACCCCCACACCCCTAAACCCCTAAACCCCTAAACCCCTAAACCCCTAAACCCTAAGCCGCTAAACCCGGACATTCGAGATCCGAGGACCTCCGCCTCGAAGACGGTGTCTGCCGGAGCAAAGGTTCCTTTTTTACAGCGTCTTGTTTTTCAACGGCTGAGCTCTGGGGTTTTAGGGTTTTGGGGTTTTAGGGTTCAAGGCTTTAGGGTTTAGGGCTTTAGGGTTTTAGGGTTTACGGTTTTAGGGTTTTAGGGCTTTGGGCCTAGGGTTTTAGGGTTTCAGGGTGTAGGGTTGAGCGTTTTAGGGTTAGGGCTTGGGCCAAGACGGTTCCTGTAGGCAGTTCGGGGTCTGCAAAGGCGTTTCATGGATTTAGACTTCGGGCATGAAGCGTCTGGGGCCTTTCTGCGCTTTTTCGTCTTTGGCTCTTTGCTGTTAATGTTGTGTTGAGGGGCATTTACAACTGTTAAGATTTAGGGCAAAAGCGGGTGGCAGCAACAGCAGCAGTCGCAGCAACAGCAGCAATGATGATGACAGCTATAATGGCATGAAGAGAGCAGCAATGCCGCTGCCACCACCACGAACAAGAAGACCAGAAACAAAACAACTGCATTAAGCATGGCCATGACACCCAGATCATGTCCTGTCTTTCGGACTGAAACGTGTTCGTGAAAAGCAGATCGCAGCCCCACTCCAAGTCGCAAGGTTTGGTTCGTCAAGAGTCAGGGGGCCCTCTACGTACTCGGAACATAGTCACCGCACTGGTCGTCACTGTACGGACAGATATGACAGCAAGACTCTTACGCAAACATTGCATTGCTGACAGTCCTCCATATCATATCCGTTATCATCAAAAACATGACACTTGAAACCGAGCAGCTCTGAGTCAGAGCCTCAGTTGCCAAGTTCTTGGCGGCCTGGAGGTTCCCGCGGTCGTCCTCAGCGTAGCTCAAGCGCTCCTGCTCCCGTCCTGCTCCTGCTGCTGCTAGTGCTACTTCTACTACCAACTACTACATCTACATCTACATCTACATCTACATCTACATCTACATCTACATCTACATCTACATCTACATCTAGTAGTAGTAGTAGTAGTAGTAGTAGTACTACTACTACTACTGCTACTACTACTACTACTACTACTACTACTACTACTACTTACTACTACTTCTACTTCTACGACGACTACTACTGTGCACCTTGCTGCTGCTGCAGCTACTGCTACTGCTGCTACCAGTACTACTGCTGCTACGACTACGGCCTCTGCTACGACTGCGACTAGGACTATGGTATCATGAGCACTAGCATATATATATATATATATATTGGCATGATCAGCTTCCTGCTCGTCATTCTAGCTATCATTCTTCTTGTGCACAATCACCCTGGCTACTGCGACTTTTTCGCATTGCCACCTAGGGTTCACGTGATGCGTCTGCGCCCTCTCTATGCTGTATGTGTGTCGGTGTCCGGGACATCGTGCATCCCGGAGTCCCAGCTATCGCGTGTCTTGGTACGCCTTGTTCGTCTTGGTGTCAAGGCGTCGACCCACGTTTCCGTGTTCTCGTAAACTGAGCTGTGTCCATTTGCCGGTGTCACGGTTCAATTCAAGGTCTTCAGCATCTCGGTCTTGACATGGATTGGCCCTAGACCCCACAAATCGAGGCCTTGAGTCCAAAATCCTAAACCTGCGGTAGAGTAGCAACGTAGTGGTCGTAGTGGTCGTCGTCGTAGAAGTAGAAGTAGAAGTAGTAGTAGTAGTAGTAGTAGTAGTAGTAGTAGTAGTCGAAGTAGAAGTAGAAGTAGAAGTAGAAGTAGAAGTAGAAGTAGAAGTAGAAGTAGAAGTAGAAGTAGAAGTAGAAGTAGTAGTAGTAGTAGAAGTAGTAGTAGAAGTAGTAGTAGTAGTAGTAGTAGTAGTA